CTTGTTGATAATTTAAATTGAAATTAACTTATGTAAAGTTGATTCAAAGGAAAAATAGGTTTATCAAGTTGAATTTTTGTAAGAGTTTATAAATCATGCCAATGTTCTTTTGTTAATATTTTCAATCTGATCTCTGTCAAATTATCAGATTTATGAACTTTTATTTATGTACATATATATTTCTTGGGACACTTTATTAGACAGTATAAAATTTCTTAATTGAAATATTTTATGTTTCTTATTATGCCAATGTTTTTTTTTTCCTGGCTTTCATATTTATATTCCTAGCTATGGGTATAGAGCAGGACAAACTAGGTTCTATAGCCTCGAATGGCAACTGATGTAGGAGAAAGTAACTCTGAATTCAAAACTGTATGTTGCCCTGCCGTGACACATAATATACAGCTAAAGAAAGGATCATTCACATTGGCTTGATGATCCCAACTATGGTCAAATGATGATGATTTATGTATTGCTTCAAATAAACAAGAGAACACTTTTGGATTTGTTCTGTTCTATGAATGAATAGGTTATTTTTAAAGGTTGATTTTCATACTTTGTAATTTTGATCTTTTTTTTATTTTTCCTAATGCATTGTAAAAAAAATATTTTTCTATGATATCTTGTTGCATAAATTAGAAACTGGTCTTAATAAAACTTACCTTAAATGAAACACTGTTTTTGGAAATTTATTAGAAAGAAATATTTTTCATAATGTTTCCTTTTTGCTCATCAGAATCAAAGCATGATCTAATAAAGGAACTGGCTGAGTTTCTTTTTTTTTTTTTATAAAGCAAATTCCATTAGAGTGTAAGCAATCATGGCTCTACATAGATTCTGTTTCTTTATTATCTGAAAATTATCATAACTTAATAGTGGAGTGCATTCTCATTACTTTCTCTGTAGTTTTGAACTTTGAGTAGTCTTTCTTCTAAACTGGCTGCCACCCAAGGCTAGATAGCCCAGTCTACTCTGCTATTTAACCCATAGCTGAAGATGAATTCATGCTTTTCCCAAGAGCATTAGGGCAAAGGTGAGCATAATAGACTAGACTGGAATTTGAACACGGTTCATCAATTCCACTTTCCACACATTTTGGGCTTGTCTTTTTGGTACACAGTAATCTACAGAGTCATTGGACAATTTTATTTTGATAGCTGGAAAAATATAGCATGTTGTAAGATGATTATCAAATGTACTTTTAGAAAAATCTTATGCCATTAAATTGCATTTCAAAATTGAAGTATTAAAAAGCTAACTATGCCCATATGTACCAGTCCAGTAAGTACCTGACTCCTATCTTCTAACTTCACAAGAGCCAGATCAGACTGAAAATGGAGTAATGCTACCATATATGAGCTGGAGCTGCTCAGTCTTCACTCTGTCTCAATAGTCCATCTACACAGCCTTGTGGGTGATAAATTTTCCCCCACCTTACAACCCCTTTCCCACAGATGAAACATTGCAAACCTCTCACTACTCTATTGCTATTTTCATGGAAAATGTTCAGACAAGTTACATTCCTTAGTTCCACCAGTTCTAACCTTTACAGCTAGGATCCCGCCATACCATTTTTACTGTAACGAACCACCCTTATTCCCTTTGTATTCCATTAATGGGAAATATGTTCCACTTGAAAAGCTTCTTTCCAGGAACCACTACTTTGTGGAATTGATTTTTCAAGAGGATGCTTCCCCAACCATTACAATCTTAACTTGTTCAAGTCTAGGGATTATCTGTCATCTTCCTACATATTCTCATAAACTGTGGCTCTTACCTATTACTCTTACTACTCACACAACAAATTCCTTCAGTAATCCTCCACATCAAGTGGCTCTTGTGTCTTCTATAGGGTGAACATTAGATTAAAAAAACAAAAATGTTATCCACTGGTTTCAAGTTCTTTATTTCCATTTACCTATGATTTGATTGTTCATCAAATACTTTTTGGTATTTTGCAGGTGTGAAGTTGAGAATATGTTTGCTATTTCCAAGAATGGAATTGGTAAACTAAGTTCAATTCTCACCTGAGGCTGCTTTTGTTCACTTTTGGGAAAGGCATGAACCTATTCCTCCATTCACTTTGTTGTAACACTAAATATTTCATTGTTGCCTTGTCTTGATAGTTGACACAGAAGAGTGAACATTTTGGCAAATTACTCTATATCTATGTCAGTAGCAACAAGGCACTATTACTTCCATAGTCAACTGTAAAAAAGTGTTATAATAATAATAATAATAATGTTTCTAGACATGTTCAACTTAAATTCTGTAAAGCTTTAAAATTGAAAAATAAATTAATGTACCATTTAATGATGTGCTGTGACCTTTTCACAATATTTTGTTAACACAAAGGTGAATCAATAAATCTACAGCATGACACAATTTATTAGCTAAATTTTGACTTCTTTAATTAATCTATAATACAAAAAAGTTGAGTGAAAGGTATTAGCAAGGAAGGAGATTATGTTGAAAAACATTTGCTGTGTAAAAAAATAAATGCTGCTTTCATCATTAGACTACAGAATTTTTGACATGTACTTATTAATAAATACCAAGAAAATAAATAACTATTGATAAACATTGCCAAATAAGCAATAACTAGTGTGTACTTATCTATTTGTCCTCTGGCCATTTAAGCTCTAATTTTAACTGAAATAGGAAATAATATATTTGTAGTAGAAAAATATGACAAAAATCAATACTAAAAGAAAAGCTACAAAATTATTTTATAATTAAAAGTATATTTAAAATTTAATTTTATTTAAAAGTATAATGACATTAATATAAAGTAGCTTGAAAGCTTTACTCTAGCCTTCCCATCCCATCCCAAAGCATTAATAATACAGTATTTGATGGAATATATAATAGACACCTCATTTTCATTTCATATTACAGTATTATAGAATTATTGTTAGATACAAATACTGATAGTATATGACATTAATATTATCTTGATTAAGTTATCTTGTTGGCTAATATTGACATGTTATAGCCAACAAGATAACTTCATCAAGATAATATTAATAAATATATAAATCTTGGGGGAGCTATTATTATTTCTTTCTTTAAATGTGTGTCTTATATACTATGAAATATGTTACTTGTAAATGTCAAATAATCTTAGTTTGATAAAGCCATGTTTAGATTTCAGAAAAAGCAAAGAATTTTTATTCTAAGAAGGCATAATATAATAAATAACTAAAAATGTCAAATTTGACCAGCTTCATTGATGCCAGTGTAGAGTCTATTTATTTAAAACATTGGATCAAGAGGATTTTAGTTCCCATCTTTTCCTCTTTCTTTCATATTTTCTTTGCTTTGTTTTTGCTTTGCAGCTGAATCATTTTTTTTTTGCCTGAATTTTGTCATATGAGAGGGTACTGAAAAGCTCAACCCACTCCCCCAAATTTAACCAAATGACCAAACATCAGAATTTATTTTTGAATCCATTTTTTGTTGAGCCAAGAACTTTTCAGCATCCCTTGTAAAAATCTTGGGTATTAAATTTCATTGATTTTGCAAATACACGCACACACAACTGATGTTGCTTCTCTTAGTCCAGTCCAAATTATGAGAGAGAGGTTGAAATTCCTGTGACTAATTTGCATTACAGGCACTGATGTCAGTGGTAATTTCTCAACCATATAATCATTATACAAATGTCAATAATAGTTTGAAGTATAAATAGTGGCTCATATTGACTGAAATGTAGGTTTGAACTATTAACAAAAAGGGTGTCTACACAACTAAGTTGAGTTTTGGTTTGTCAAGTGACTAATGAGATAAAAAATTACTCCATTCTGTATATTGTATAGACAACAATTTGAAGAAACAAATAAACATTCAAAAAAACTGAACATAATCAATTGATGTTGAATTGGTGGATCTGGGTGTATTATTAAATTATAATTTACTTCTGAGCAGGTCAATTTGATAATTCAGTTAAACTTTGGAAGCACAGATGTTGAAAAAATGATATTGTATTTGTATACAAAAGCTGTTACTCTAAATTATAGAAAATGAACTTGGTTTCATTATTCTCTCTAAATTTGAACAGATTTCTATGTGTAAATTCTTGTCATCAGTCAGAATTAAAGAATATAATTGTAAGCTTACAATCAAATGGTGCTAATGATAAAGTAGTTATTTTAGATTAGTTATTTTATGCCAGTGTATTTTAGAAAAGCATGAACATAAAATTCCATGTGTTTTGTCCTGTCACATCACAGAAAATAGAAAATCTTTTTTTCTTTTTTTTTTTTTTTTTTTTGTATTAGTGCCAAAGCTTCAACAGGATTGAAGTCATATTCTTGAAACTTTTCATTCAATTTTTTTTCCTGGTCATCCTCTCTGTAATTGTGTTGTTGATGTTGTTCACTGGCTTTGGTCACTAATTCTGGAAAAAAGGCTCCAGAATTATGTATAGGTTCTGGTTGATGAGTATGGACAATTAGTGAATGACCCTAATCACCTGGATGCAAGACCATATACTGTATTTCCCACTATATATGAGTGTACACCTATAATTCATTAGGGGTAATCATTGGATGAATATATTAAACATAGTTGTTTAGGTTGTCTAGTATATCAATAAACTGTTCTTCAAAACCCCCTATCTAAACCTAGCCATCAGGTTATAAGAGGGCAGGTTATTTTTGGATTAGTTTTATTTTTAAGGGCAAAAAGCATTTCCTGTTATATATGATGCAAAATGCTGTATGTAATGATGAAAATATCCAGGCTGAAATTATATGGTACAGTGCTTATAAAAATAATAAAAAATAGCCAAACTGAAATTACATGGTACGATGCTTATCCATTCGTGTTCGAAATGGCCGACATATTCTGGAAATGCTGGATTAGATTCATAAACTTGGTGTATTTAAACAGGAATCCAAACCTGTCTTTTGATATAAACCTTAGTAATATTAAAAATAAATAACAAATTTTTTTTCTAAACTTTTTTTTTTCCTAACATTTTGGTGTTGTTCTTTCAGGATCACCAGACGCGTATAGGAAATTTGATGCGGATTTGTAATGAAAAAGGAATTGCCTCCCAGGATTACCAGTGTAATAGTTGTCCTTCTCCACTAGGCTTGTGTGAGTAAAAGCTTTCCTCTCTTCTGACATATCTTTAAATCCATTTCTGATGTTATTGTGCTAATAACTGTACTATAGAGACAACAATTCTGTTAGTATTAATAAAATCTACCTGTTTCTTGAGTTACAATGAAGGTTAAATAAATAAGACATTAATACAAGTTTGATTACAGGTCACAGAAAAGGAATGTATATTTTTATTACTTTCTCTCTTCCCTTTTTTATTTCTTAACTTTTCCTTTTCCATATGTATATACACTGATTAGAGTATAGAGTACATAAGAATGATACAAAAGTATTATATTTGAGCCCTTTACGTATTACCAAAAGAATAACTTGTGTGTATACATTAGGCATATCAACATGATGTTTGCATATCATAATGATATTTAAAAATTGAAATTAAAAAAAAAAAAAAAAAGTAATATATTCAACATGTGGTGTTGTTTGATTAGAATTATATTGGGCAAACACAGCAGGTGTTGGAATCTCCAATGTGTTTCTCAAATCAATTCTGGGCAACTTGACATGGAGCATTATCTTCCTGGAATAATTGAAGCCTGGCGGACTGTCAGTAAGTGGTCTGGTTTGATTTGACTACAAAGTTCTTAGTGTTCTTTAGTTTTACACTAAAGAAAAACTTTGTGTATTACTTTGGATAGATACACATCATACACACACACATACAGATAATATTATAGCAAAAGTTACTTTTGTTTTCATACAAAGTAACAGATTTGAGGTTCTTGTGGGTGGAAACATGATTTAAAATTATAATTTTTCAAACACTATAATAGCAAAAAAGATCAATAAATTTTCTTGAATTTCAAAGCCATAACATATTTCATTCTTGTAAATGACCAATGATCATTGAATACATTTGAACATATACACTGACATGCCAAAAGCCTGTCATAGGATAGCAGTATGTAAAGATAATGGTAGGTGGCACCAACATACTTTGACTTCATGGAAAAGCTCCAAACTTATTTCAGCACACCATAAACAGTGACCAAAGATCTTTAATGATCAAGACCAGTGGCATCTGGCTAGAATTGTCTGTGGTAACATACAAGGGACATTAATGCAAATCATATCCCCATTCTATGCAGAAAGTACCAGACTTGTATCCAGAATGTTAGTTCAACATTCTTTAGCTTCAATGGGATATGGGAGCAAAAGATTAATTTGTATTTTTTATGGCTTATCAACCCTTTGTGGGTTATTTAAAGCTGAAACATATTTTGGATTTTAAGAATAATTTCTTTTTTTTTCTCTTTTCGCTTGTTTTGAAGATAACAATAATCTTACCAAGTACAAATCCTACTATTTAACCCATAGCTGGAGGGAGAAGAGGTGGATTCATATCTTTCCAAAGAGTATTTGTGTGTAAGTGAATTGTAACAAATTCAACTGGAATTCAGATTGAGTTATCCAATTTCTAATTCTGAGACACTATCCATGACGCCACCACCACATCTAGAGGCAGAAGAACCACCAGTATGCCCTTGTTAATGTGCACAGCACCTCACCTAGGCTAAATGGACCCTGGAAGACAGTCAGAATGTGTTGGTGGTAGAGTTTGAGTATGGCATACACCTTTGGATCCCAATTATCAACAAGGTACCATACAGGGGTATGTTCAAGTAGCATGGATCTCTGGTTCAGCTAAACATAGCATTAACTAGTGACTACTACATTGACTGCTTTGTAACCATTTGTACCCATTCATGGACTCCATGTACCCCAACAATGATGGGTTATTCCAGCAGAGTAATGCACCCTGCCATCAAGTCTACGTTTTCTAGAATTGGTTTGAAGAACATTCTGGAAATTTCCAAATAGTTTTTGTAGCCACTGCATTCACCTAACATGAGTCTAATCAAGCATTTATGGGGTATAGTAGAGAGGCTTCTTTGCATGCAAGATCTTGTACCTATAAATGTCAATAAGCTGTTGATAATAAGTGAGACAGAATGGATCAACATCTCTTGATAGGTCTTCCAACCACTTGTAGAATGGATGCTGTCATGTTACTGCAATTCACTGGGATCTGACATAATACCAAGTACCTATCCCCAGACTTTTGGGAGATCAGTCTTTATACAAACAATTTTATAATCACTAGAACTAAACATCTGTTATTTTGTACAATAAAGAGAAAAACCCTGGAAAATTATCAGAACAAATTTTCTGTTAGAATTAAAAATTGTTGCTGCTTCTTTGTGTGTATGTACATGCATTTGACTACCAAGTATTTAGTTTTACACATGGTCAAATGAAAGCAAAACACATAATCAAGTCACAATTTATGTATGATTAGGTGGCTCTAATCAAGAAAACATGAAATAAAATGGACTAGTCACAGTGATCAGTATAAACATAAATGGCGGAAAAGAGGTGAAAACATTCCTGTTATTCTGTTTAATTGGACATGGTCAGATTATATGGGTTTCATGCTTGACTAAAGAAGAAACTATTTTATCTTGAGTATTTTCTCATTCTCTTTCCAACCAACATTTCAAGCAAAGCAAAAACTCATGTCTAAAATAAAACTGGATCATCGCTATATGACTCACCAAATGGGCTTCATCAAAAACATTTTGGGCAGTTCTTAAATTCATTACCATGGTTATATAAAAATGAAAAAAAAACATAGTCTGTCTATATTCTGATTATGTACATTATTTACATTATTCAAACTATTGTTCTCATCTTTGTCGCCATATTTATCACAACGTTTCGGCTGTTGTACGCTCTGGCCTTCTTCAGGTGGTTGGAATGTCGAACTGAACCCTTTATTTCACTCACTGGTGTAGACTGTTCTAGTTCCACGTTTTGATGGATGTCAGTTATCAGTTATCTCCTCTGAAAGTTCTCCACTGCCTTAACCGGGTATTGAACTCACACTCTTTGGGTCCTGTCACTGGATCTAACCAACACCTTTATCTACTGTGCCATGTGTCCTTGAGAACATCTGGGTATTATAAACCTAATGTCTTCAGCAACCATTTTTACCAGTGCTCATATTGCAAATTTTGCCGTTATCATTGCATGTTTTTACCAGAGCTTATATTGCAACTTTGTTGTTATCATTGCTTTTCTCTGGCACTCCTTATTACTGGTTCCCATATTGTATTTATTTCTATGCTTGGTCGGCTCAGGAGATTTTTGTGGCTTAGCATATGTGCTGATTCCTTAAGTTTACGAATTTTCCAATGGTGTTCCTTGTCTATGATCTCAACATGATCCCACAGAGGGCGGTGATCTCCCTTCTCTCTCCATATGTGGTCAGCCACGCCTGATTTTTCTACTTCCCCTCGTGTTACAGCTTTCTGGTGTTCTTGAAGCCTTACCTTGAGGGGTGCGGCCTGTCTCTCCTTTATATTCCTTTCCGCAGCTGCACGGGATAGCGTACACACAGTTTTTAGTCATGTTCTCCTCTATGGGGGGGGGGTCTTACTCGGGAGAGATATCTGCGAAGTGTCGTCAAACATGGCACGTGGAACTAGAACAGTCTACCCCAGTGAGTGAAATAAAGGGTTCAGTTCGAAATTCCAACCACGTGATTTAAGGTCGAGCGCATAAACGCCTAAACGTTGTGATAAATATGGCGACAAAGATGAGGACAATAGTCCGAATAATGTAAACAATGAAAAAAACATGTTTACCCAAATATGCAATTATAATATTTTTAAGCTGTCTAAGTCTTTAGAGGAAGAATTGTCATTATTTTTATTTAGTTTTTCATTTTTGAACTAATTTTTCTTTTGTTATATAATTATTGCTTTTTAGCACAATGTGCAAATTGTTTTCTACGACCATTAAGCAAATAACATAGATCATCAGCAAATAAAGAAATAGAACTATAATCTTATTGGAAGTTAATTCTTTACTTTTCAATCTCTGTTACTTGCTTAACTGACATAAAATATAAAGCAACTTGACTATTGCAATTAAAATGCAACAATACTAAGACAAAAATGAATGATTATAATATGTATTCCTTATTATCAGTCTACTGTAGACTTTTTTAAATCAAGACTTCAATTGTCTTGAGTTCCATTGAATCATTTTTAGTCCTTTTGAACACAGATTGTCAACTCAACTAATGAATTCCTAAAAGATGTAAAATATACTGATGTATAAAAATTTTAACTCTCTACCAAATCTAAATTCTGGTGCCAAACACAAAAACTTAGTAGGAATAGAAAGTTGTATAAGGCACAATCAAGACTCAATCTACTGCATACAATTTTAAAGAGCAAACATTTTATACAGAAAAATAAAAAAATACAAAAATTTACTTATAAGACTCTTGCACAAAAATTTCCTTTTTTGTGCCTTATAAATAATTAAGGCAGGATAACATTTACAAATATATTGCAAAAATCAAAAATAGAAAAAAGATTATGGTTTAGAAAAAAAAAACAAGGATTCAATTTAGAAAATGATGAAAGAGAAAACAATTCAAAAAGGTTGTAAAACAAAGGTGCAACCACCTTTTTAGAAAAAATGAAAAAACCTACTTGTTCTCGAACGTCTCCGGGACATATAACAATTTTGGAAATGTTTTTTATATTCATGCTATTCATGCTTCACTGAGGCTTTTGGAAAATTACTTTAAATTCTTTTTTCATTGTCCATCCGCAGGCGAATTTTCACTTGAACTACAAAATTCTTTAGTCTCTCTGCAACTGTCTTTTAACCTTGTACCTTCCCACCAAAATGCTTTCTTCTCCTTGAGGTGAAATGCCTTCTCATTGATGTCAATTTCTTTCTAACTGCTTTTTTCTTGATGTCAAAAACCTTATCTGCTGACCTGAGTCCTTTTATTATGAAAAAGAGGATCACACAAGGCCACCATTTGGGTTCTTACTAGGGCTTCAGACCATATCTCTCATTGGTCAGTAAATACAAAAAAATATTTTCCATAAATTTGAAATGGATCCGTAACAATTTTTATAGATAAGACCAACCCACTAACAGTAATGCTTGTAATACAAGTGATTCTGTATTCTGTATATAGTTCCTCTATTTTGTACTGTTAGAAATAATTGTTGTATAGCTGTCTAACAAACATTGTCATTATCTTTAGGGCAAATACCAGTGGTTTGTGCTTGAGCTCGGATAAAAGCTATGATTTTGAATGCTTTGATATTTAATGTCATATAAAAATGTTATCAACACAGTTGCATTTAATATTTTAGCATTATGGAGTTATGCTTGGTACAAGTATTGTTAGTCTACAGCATCTGAGTAAACATGAGCCTACTAGGACCTCAACTTCACATAAAACTCAGATCCCTGATAATTTTTTTTTTTTAAGTAGGTCTTATATATAAGTTATTGTGTTCTTTGTCATGCAGTGTATGGAAAGCCCTTGGTTTGTACATATGATGGTTGTTATTATTGCACTGACTGTCATCACAATGATGAATTCTATATCCCATCAAGAATCATATTCAACTGGGATTTCAGCAAATATAAAGGTAAGACAGACTGTTTCTTTAATTTCTCTTTGTAAAGAATTTGAGAGTTCTTTGTTTTCAGTGATAGAAGAGCAACTGTAACAGATGGAAGCCTAACTTGGTTAAAAATAAGATACACAATCATTTCTTTGCTCTACAAGTTAAGGGTAGAACATCTCTACATAGACGAGATGCTGATAGGAAGGTGTTTTGAAAACGTTTTGGCTGGAACAATCTGATGTTTAGTCAGGTTGAAAACTTTTTGACTTCACCTTGTAGAATATACATCTACTGAGAACAGATAGAAGACTACATTCCCAATATTGCCATTTTAAAAATTCAGACATTATCATTATAAAGAATTTTAAATGTGGGAAATGAAAGTGTTTTGCATGACCCATATAAATGTTAATGGACTAGAAAAATGGTTCATTGTTGTTACTTAAAATTACTTATCAGTAGATGTAATTTTAACCAGTCTGGCCACTTGAAGAATGATTATTTTGTTCTCCTTTAATATTTATTTGCTTATCCCCAGAGTTTAAATGTCTTTTGCATTTTGGAGCATTGATTGGAGGGGGGGCGATTTTTGTCTTATAATCTACTACTGAGCTAAATCTATAAATGTATTTCTTTTAAAAGCTAATTTCAATATGTCTGCCTTTTCAAGCTGTATTTAGGTTTTGTACCTTTACAAAACTGTTTCCATATTTCTTTCAGCATAGATCTTTATTCTTTTAATTGCTTTGACTTTTATATGCTACACTAAGAATTCCTTAATATCAAACAACTGTTTCCTATCACCATATTAAATAATTATCCATTCTCTGAAAGCTTCATACCTTCATTGCAAATTCTATACAGGAAGTTTCCTATCTCTTTATTCCATATTAAAGATTGACTCTTGTAATTTTATTTTTAATCCTTTTCAACTGCTTTTTTCAATTACATTTTTTTAACTTTTAGAATTTCTTGAATTCTTGGTTGAAATTAAAGCTTTAAAATTTATCTGTCTTCTTTTCATGCCATCTAACTGATTATACCTCACCATTCTCTTGTTATATAAAATTATAATTGAACACAACAGTTGCAAACAAATAATATTTTGTCTGCTGTTACATCCTATAACCTAAACGAGAAACTACTTTGGGACAAATTTTGTAATAGTATTGAATAATTTTTTTTATTGATCAAATATTACTCATTCAAAGTAGCTTTCGAAATTCATTAAGTTCAATTTCTTGTCCAACCATTATCTCTGCTAACAAAGTTGACAAAAAAGGTTATTTATTCATTCATGTTTGTCTACACAGTATCTCCAAAAATTCTTAATGAATTTCCAGTTACATTTTGTAGAAGGCTATGGGCTAAGGAACAACTGATTTAATTTGGAAGCAGTCACAATTTTTTTTAATTGATATTTCACATAGTATTATAAAAGTATGAAATTTCTATGAAAACTTAGTTACCTCCCCTACCTCCTATCTATCAATGAATTAATTTTCATCCATTTTTTTTTAATGAAATTGGCCTATGTGGCTTTCTGACTGCTTTTTTAGTTCATACTGAGAATAATTGATTTTGTGAACCTATGAAAATGAAATGGATTATTTACCTTGAAAACTCCAGTTTATTAAAATGTTCAAAAATGTTCCTTTATACCTGAAGGAGACCTTGTTCATCAGGTCTGAAATGCTCACTAAATTCTAGAATAAATAGGTGATGAAAAACAAATTAAAAAAAAAATCTGTTGCAATTTGGTTGCTACTTCTATAGAATAAAAATACAATCAGTTCTGTTGCTTAAAACTCTTTCTGGATTTCAAATTAGTTAAATAAAATTATCTAAGTCAATCAACATAAATCTTATAAATGATATTTTAATCTGGAAAATCAAGATAGAATGGATTTATAAACAAATGGCTATTCTTATTTATACTTTCTCAACATCTTCCTGGTGTCAATTTAAAATGACACCTTTATTTTGTTTTTGATTTCAGATGAAAATTTGGAAATTTGTAATTACATTTCAATGAAATTTTCACTTTCCAAAATGATAGTTCATAATTATAGTTTAGATATGTGATAAAAAAAAAACTGCTTCCAGAAAGATAAGCATTAAATAATCAAGAGAAGTTTCTGTTAAAATGACAAACTTTGTGATAAAAAACTTTTCTCATTTCAGAAAAGATTTGCTTGTTCTCTCAGCCACATTCTGATTTGCATATATTTTTTTTACTTAATGCAAATTAAGTAAATGATTATATACAGATGTACATAATCATTTACTTAAGCAGAAAAAATGTCAGGAAGGAGGAACATTCTCTAAATTTCTTTCTATAATTAATGTCTTTCTTCTCACAACAAAGGTGCTTTTAGCATTAAAAACTTGGGCAAAACACTGGACAAGTGATAACTAAAGTTATATTTAAAACATGTACTTATTTTATAAATTATATAATACTTCTCTGATCTCAACACTATAGGAATTTTTTTTTAATAAAAGATTTACATGCAAACAATCTATTGTAGAAAAAGATGTTCACTTTTTTGTTCATATTAACTCTGATAATCTGTGAAATGTTTTATCCTGGTTAATGCTGACTTATATTGCTAGCATCCATATAAATTTTCCAACATTTTCATCAGTTGTTTCACTATGTGGATTGTTGATTGTGGACTAAAATCAATACTTTGTATTTATGACAATGAAAACCTTGTAATTTTACTTTTTGTTTTTATTTTTTTTTCATTTAAATTTCATTATTAACACAAAGAAATGGACTTTGTGATTAAAAATTAAAATGAAATTACTGAATTGTAAAATAAAAATAAAATTGTTTTTTTTTCTTTTTTTTTTTTTTTTTTTTTTAATTTGATTTCAGTGTGTGTTAGAAATTTGGAATTTTTGAAGGAAATTCAGGAATATCCCCTGATTGATATTGATAAAATAAATCCAGAACTGTATGACTATATTTCAGATATGAGAGATACAAAGGTTTGTAGCTGTTATTTCTTTTCAGTTATTCTTATTCAAGTCGCAATTTGACAAATATTTAAATATGTTTGCATCATACTGTGTGTGTGTGTATTGCTTGGACATTGTAATTGTATTGATTTTGGAAATTTTGTACATCTGCAGCAGCTGCTTTTGTGAAAGATCATTCACAATTTAGAAAAAAAGATGGTCAGACTTCATTCATTCAAGGCCAACCACATTTAGGATCATAGTCATTGTAAAGTCTATGATCCTTTTATTAGTTTATACTTCACCAGAGATGCATACAGAGTTATCCTTCTCAAAGACTGTCTGCCAGCTATCGCTAGAGAGCTCAGTCTGTTCTACTATTTAAACTATAGCTGGGGGGATAGATGGATTGATACCTTTCCCAAGGGTATTTGTGCTTAATTGAATTTATTGAACTTAATTTGAATTTGGGTTTCCGATTTCTCATTTTGCACCATTATCTGTTACACAAACTGTACATCCTGGTTAGACTTTAGAGACATAAAATATCTATACTTTTCAATAAAACAATTTTTCTTATTTATTATATATATAAAATCAGTGGTGGCCTTACCTGCCACTGTGGCTTTGTTGCACACAGTAAATGTGGAAACATGTGGCAATTGATACTCAACACACAAGTGAAATGTGTCTGCCACATGTTCCATCTTTCAAAAAGTGTGCAAAACACCTGTAGGTCTCAGGAGACACATGGGTTCATAGAAGCTGAACACTTTGTTTTACTGAACTCTCATTTGTCGTCTTTGACGGGAGTGTCCGTCATATATATATATATATATATATATATATATATATGAAATGAGAACAAATTGAATACAATTTTGATGTTTGTAAGATTCAATACTAACACCTGATGCGATGTGTTAATACACATTGAAACATAATTGCATTCGTATAGCATTTTTTTTCACATGTAATATCCTAAAATAAAGTATATTTGTTTGCAACTGCTTTCTCTCCACCACTCTGAGTCTGTGGATTGATTCTGTGAAAATGATTACCTGGAAAATCTTGTGGTTTTATGTGTGTGTGTGTGTTTTTATTTTAACTCTTGCCATATGTACATTTTTTTATTTTATTTTTTTGCAGTTCCTCCGAATTCGTTTAGCTCATTTGAGCTCTTACCTGTTCACCTGTAAAAAGTCTGTAGCTGAGAAATTCCGCCAAAGTTTATGGCCCAAGGAGTATTTGTATGAGGACATCCACATCTATTCTATAATAGTAAGTCCCTGAACTTGTTTTGTTGACTTTCTCAAAATAATTGAAATAGACAAAAATGTTTTAATAATAATTATCTGTGATTAGTGAGATTTAAAACCTTTAAATTCAGGCATCAATAAATTTTTCAAAGGATTTTTACATATGATACACATTTGAGTCTTGCTTGGAGCTTTATTTCCAATCTGCACTATTTACTAGCTGTCATAACCTGATGGTCTAAGTAATTGAAATAGAACATAACTAAAATTAAAATGAAATACTAATTGAAAATTGCTTGAAAAGTGCTTGACAAAATTTGTTATTTAAGAAAAAAAATAATGAACCCTGGTCAACATTAAAATAACTTTATTATTTTTTTTCAGTATTTTTATTTTTTTAGTGGAGCAGAATGGTATTTTCCAAAAAGAAGCAGAGAGTAATGATTTTCATGACAATTTATTAACGTTTACTGGGTTAACCCTATTTCAACATATTCATATTGCAATTTAATCAGGTAGGAGATAGAAAAGGTGGGGGAAGTCTTTCTATGAGTTAGGTTTACCTTTGGTCCAAAATTAAAAATTTGTTTGATACGGAACTTGTTGATGCCCTTAGTTGTTCTACGCATGGTAAAATGGTTATTGGCACAGAAAGTGGAATCTGTCTGCTGAATTAAAATTCCACCTGAGTTTTTTTGCATTCACTTTCACACAAATGCCTTTGGGAAAAGTGTGACCCCCCTCTCCCATCTCTTCTTCCTCACGCTGTGGGTTAAATTGCAGGGAAGACTGAGATCTCTTGCCTTGGTTGGCAACCAATCTTGGAGAACAACAACTCTGAATTCAATACTAGGGCTAGCAATTCCATCCTGTAAAAACCTACTTGCTACAGAAACCATAGCAGTAACACATAGGATGATGAGGCTATGGCCCTATACCCCACAATAACACTAAAAAGGAGGGGGCAGTATATTCATACAAAAGAAGAAATATTATTATTAAAACATATACAATATATAAATGAAAGTAAAGGGTCAAATTCAAACTCAGTAGACTAATTAAAGCAATAAAGAGGGAAAAAATTTTCCTAAAATGCTGAAAAAAAATAGACCCATTCCCATACAAAAACCATGTTTTTTTATTTTTTTTACTTTATCCCTGCAGATTCCCTATGTTAGTCATAGGGTAATAACCCCACCAAATGATGCTGCTGCAGTTTCAGTTTCAAGTGTGTCTTTATAAGGCTAGGAAACTAACCCAATGCCCAAAATGGACTGATTTACAAAGCTAAAGGGCTCCAACTACCCTACTATTTACCCATAGATGAAAGAATAAATGGATTTATGCCTTCCTCAAGGGCATTGGTTCAAAGTAAACACAAACTGTCTGTTATACCTGACGTACCTATTCTATTATTAATAGACTCTCCCACACATAATAAGTAGTAGTAGTAGCGGTCGCCAGTTGAGCTCGGTGGAGTTGAGTGAGTCAGTCGATGTCGGACATTGAAGTATCAACCATCACAACTAGATTGCTGCGTCATTAACTCTTATTTCAAGTTCCTAACGTTTTGTACATCGAACCTAATTTAGGACGACTTATTGAAATACAAGCCTCCACTGTGAAAACTACTCCACAACACTGTCTCAGAGTTTGAACTCAGTTTGTTATTCTCCATGCTATTAATCATTAAGCTATCCACTCCAAAATTGTAAGTAACCCTAGCAAGATTTAAATGTCTGACCTGAACATAGGCAGGCAAATGATGTCTCCATTAGACAACTTAAGAAAATCATTGAGATTCAATATTTTCAGTATTTTGGAAAGAAAGCAGTTCTGAAGAACTTTGCCAATAATCTCATAAATGTATATTTACATGACATTTCTCTCTAAGTAAATCATTCTTTGTTTATTGCATTAAATACCATTTTTACCATTATTCTATCTTCTATTTCAAGGATTTCTTGCAAATTCAATCTGGTCAGCTACAGGCAATGTTAAAGAAGTCACTGAAAACAGCCAGTAAACATGTCTATGAATGTGGGTTGTGCAGTCAGAAAGGTTTCATTTGTGAGATCTGTAAGAATCCACAGGTCATCTATCCGTTTGAGATGGATACAACGCATCGAGTAAGTTGAATGTATCTTTTTAAAAACTTTGGTAAAGATTCAAGTTTTTGTTTATATTAATTCACAACTCATTCTTTTTGTTTTTTACATTAATTTCTCTTTAACCATTAATTTTTTATGCACTACTCAAATATTCCATTGGATTTTGTAACCAAGTTGAGACTGAGTCTAATACAATAGCATTTCATCTGAAAACAAAATGTATTAAAAATTTCAAAGACAACTCTCTGACTCTTAATACTTTGATCTCAAAATATATTTACCTGTTGTATGAGGAAAGTCAATGGCATGATATATGTCCAAAAGTTAGATTTCAGCTCACCTCCAGAATTAAAGGGTTTCTGAAAATCTAACTAAATTATTGATACATTCAAAATATTCTATACAACACAAAAAAGACATGCATGCATATTTAGTGATTTTTTTTTTATTGTGATATATATATATATATATATATATATATATATATATATAAAATTAATAAACAAAATCCAAAATCACCTCATATGGGGAATAGCCTATTTCGGCAGTTGAAGACATAGGTTGTCTGTCTTATCAACCCCTGTGTGGACTGAGTTTGAGTCAGAAGTAGAAATTTAACTGTGAAAGCTAAAAAAAAAAAAAAAAAAAACAGTTAAAAAACTAATACAGAATTTATCCATTTCAATGTTTCAGTCAGATAAAAGTCAGGGGTCAGAGGAGGGTGGAAAGTATTTCTCTTAAAGGGAAGAAGTTTTATAAAATTAATCCTGAAATATTAACCTGTCATTAATTTGGGGTTATATGAAAAATGAAATATTAATTTAAAATTAAAAGCGGAATAAAAAGGAGTTTAAAAATAACTTTAAAATATATAGATAAAGGGATGTAAGGTATTAATGGAAAGAAAGTTGGGGAGATCTTAGAGTAGGGGAATGGTAATGATATAATTAATATAGGTAAAGAGGTTATAGAGGGGGAATATAGAAGTTAAATTTATACATTCGACATTTGAAGAGTTAGAGGGGAGTGAATATTATGGAAACATAATTTGAATTTGTTTTTAAGTTGATATTTTAACACTAATTCATTCCTCTGATTTAATAGTTGGCTTTGATTATTGTATTTTATTATTCTAATTTTTTCTTCTAAACATAAGTCACACCTCTCTATAAGATTATTAGGAGTATGTGCAGAACCTTTAATCTTCCAAACTGTCTGTTGGCTCAAACCTTTCTCCTTAAATTCCCAAAATTTATTTGAAAGAGCTTTCTGGTGTTTTAGTTTAGGGATAGAAAATGAATGCCTATGGGTATAAAATTTCTGTTTCCATTCCCCCATGAAAATTCCAATGTAAGCATTATAATTTTTCATATTTTCTTTGGGGGAAATGATCACTTGATATATAACCCTGGTAGATCTGCATTTGCCCTTTACTGGACAATTTCTTTAGATCTACAATTACAGGAGGGTTCAATACCAGGTTTGTTGTTTGTCCCATAGAAATTTCTTAAAATATAGTTATTGTGTGAATTAATAGTAGCTAATCTTAATTGTTTTCCTACTGAAGATCTTACTTAGAGGGTTATTTTTTTAAAGATTTATTTATTAACTTTAGAAAATACTGTCTGATATTAATATTTGACATCTTGCAGAAGATTTTTGTATTATTGAGACCCTCCCAACGGATTTAACAATTAGAAGTGATTGATTTGCACTTCAATGATATACTGAAAAGGTCAAATATAATGAAGGATAACTGACTTTTACAAACGCCTTCCAAATTAAGAATTTTTGATTTTAAAATCGTATGCCCAATAATTTCAGCATTTGGCACAGCATATTTATGGGAGAAGTGATTTTTAAAGATAATATATGCTACATCTACATAAAGGTCAGTCATAAGTAATCACTGTTTACATTCAATTCTGATGGTAGATAGCACAATGTTTGACTTTGTTTTATATCAGAAAAAAGAATTACATTCCTCTCGTTGAGTCTTCATCTTTAATATTACCAAAAATAGAATTTATTAGTTTATGGATATTAATGGATTATTTAACATGCTTTAAATGCTTCAAAATATAATGTTATTTTAGTTTTATATATTTCCATAGTTTTACTTTGTGCTTGTCATGGCCTTAAAAAAAATACTGCCTACCTGATCAAATTCCGAAAAATGTTTGTTGAATTATTGATTGTAACAAATTGGTTTGGCGTTAGTAAAAGAACAACTTTTCCATTTGAAGAGACGACAACTAAATTCTGGTTATGGTCCCATGCAGCAATAATTAGTTCAGTTGTATATACTTGTTCTGCATGTGATAGTTTGATCCAGTCTTCAACATTGTATTAGGCAGCACCAGTTCTACAAATTGACTAACAGTTCTTGCTTATGACACCTGAATTATTTTTTCTTCTGCTTTTGTTTTCTTGCATTTCTAAGGTAGATAATTATGCTTGGTACAGTTTCCATAACATTGTATCACATACCCTGCCACTTTCTATAAAATGGAACAAGTCTAGTGTCTTTAGAATGGCTGACAAATTCAAGCAACATGTTTGCTTTAAATTTTGTATGAAGCTCAGCAAAGCTGCTACCAAGAAGTTCATAATTCTTCATCAAGCTTTTGGTAGACATTCTTTAGGTCTTTGAATAGCACATGTATTTCAAATCTAGTTGGCCAATTGTTGGTTCAAGATGATGTGTTGTTAGGATGATTAATCATCTAGGAAATGTTAGAAAATGGGTTGGGATACATAAACTCTTCCATGAAAATCATTGCTGAACAGCTGATCATAACTTCCTTCAATAACTGGAATCAGCTATGAAGTCTGCAAGGAGATCCTCACAGAAAACTTAAACCATGTTGCCGCAGATTTTATCCCCTTGCTCAACACTCAAAAATTCTTGTACAGTCACTGAAGTTAAGCAACATCAAGCCTGATCAGTACCTAGATTGGTGACCACTTTGGAAAACCAGGTGCTGTAAGCTTGGATGTGCTGGGGTATGATGAATAACAGCTCTGAATTGAAAATCGGAGAGCCTTGTTCCAAATCCAGTTATATTCACTTATATGCAAATACCCATGGGAAAGGTATGAATCCACCTCTCCTCCACCCTCAGCTATGGGTTAATTAGTAGGATTTTTAACAGTAAATCATTATTATCCCCCAAAATTAATACAATCTAAAAACAATATTTTCCAATTTTAAATAGCCTGCAAAAGGTTGATAAGCTATAAAAAAACAATCAATCTACACTCCAGTAATGCCAGTAGTACCATGAGTTTTGCATTCTCCAAAATGAAATTAAAGCTGAATGGTTGCCACTTTGAGACTGCAGATGAAATTCAAATGGAATCAAAAGCTGTTTTCAGGAAGAGAACTTCTGTGGTACTTTTGAGATATGAAAAGTGGGAAATGCCATTCAAGATCAATGTGTAAAGCATAAATATGAATCTGACCAGTTATGTTCCATTCTGTGTACATATTTTGAATATCATTGTAGATGAGGCAATGAAAATCTTGTTTGCCTACAGAAAAGGCCAGACTAAATTGTTTTATCTGGTTGTGAACTTGGAGGCCAACTATTGTCAGTTTTTTTTACTTTTTATTATTTCCTCAAATGTTCTATGCACATATGGATGAATACAAAATGTAATCATCAAATTACATCCCAAACCCAATATTTCCTAAAGTATTAACAGACAGCTCATGTGTAAAAGAATGTCCTCATTTATTTATAAGGTTCAAAGCCTATTGGCAGAGAATATATAGACCCACTTCCATCCCACTGTCAAACTGTGGCCTTTACTGACAGACAGAATCACATCATCTGTGCCTTATCATCCAATATGGACAGGTGGTACCGCCAATTGTTTCAGTTCTGCTTGTGACATTTGTCATGAATGATGAATAATTCATGTGAATAATTAGAAGCAATGCCAGCATTTCATAAACTTTACAATCCTGGGATCAAACATTTTTGGTTTTATAAAACCTTCTCCAATTTTGTAAAAGTCCATTTTGTGAATATGCATGAAGCAACAGTTTGTCAATTATGCATGATTTATTAAAAACAAAATACATAAAAGTTTTCTTGAATTTAAGAATTATAATGTAACTCCTGCTCTTGAAAATGACCAATGATGATTGGAAGTAATTGAGCATGTTTTGAACAATTTTTACTCACACTGGACACAACACATCAATCTTTTCTCTCTCTCTCACACACACAACAAACTATTAAAATAAATCTTGTCTGTAACCTTTGATAAAATCTGATTAAATATATTGCGTGTGTGATTGAGAAAGCTCTGATAAAGTTATCATTCTTTTCCATTATGTATAAATTCCTAACAAATCACATTAGAAAAATATAAAATTTTGTTGATTATATTTTGCATTAAATATCTTAAAACATTAAATATTAATTAAAGTTATAAAGTAACTTTAGTTTCTAATTTGGCAGTGGTTCTTCTACACTGAGTAGGTGCCAATAAGTTCTTGGCCTGACCCTCTTTCCAAAATGTCAGGATAACTTCCCAAAATATCAGGATAATTTTTGTCTTTTTTGTTAGAGCTCAATGGTTGAGTCTAGAACTTTTCAGCACCTTCTTGTATTATGTTGTAGAGAAGAGTAAGATCACCAAGAATTTAATTGATTTTATTTAATGTTACAATCGAATCTCTTCTCTTCAATGCTGTACAAATTAAGCATATAGAAAAGGGGTGAGCGAATTGTGAGCGAAAGAGAAATATATGATGACATTTTATACTTCAATATTTGTGTGTTAATGTCAATAACAAACATTATCTAATAGTAGTATTTCATTATTTAAGGACAATGACTCATTCTTTGGAATCTACAATAAGGTTTTAATTTCAATCTTGTCTATCATCTAAATCTAGATAAACACACACACACACAAAGGCTTTTATTACATACCAATATCTGACAAATTCTCATAATTAGTAACTTTAAAATCTGCTATTGGCCTTTGGCCTTCCTTAAGGTTTGTAAGATATGGGGGAGTGATGAGCCTTACCTTATCATATTGACCCCATGATATGTTGGAAGGGGTTCTTTAATTTGGAATCTTTTTATTTTTATTTATTTTTTTTAATCATTTCACCCTAACCAGGGCAATAAAGCTACTAAGATGCAAGGGGGTTACTGTGTGTGAAAGAATATGAGAAAAAGAAAACATTATTAAGAAGACAGAACATACCGCATTTAAATTTTTGAAGATAAATTTTGATTAGAAATCAAGAAGCTGGAAGAGAGTTCTACAAGTGCGAAGTGTGAGAGAAGAAACTGTTAGCATAGAACTTAATGTTACATCTAGCTATTTCCCCTGTAAAATGATGAGACCTAAATGCCAATCTAGTATAATGTTCTAGATTGTTTGTGAGCCAAAGTTAAAAGTCCCAGTCTGCTGTACTATTTACTCGTACTTGAAAGAAGAGCTGCAGTTGTAGTGAGTGTGAAATAAAACTCCCTTCACCCACTCCCTTCAAATTCAGAGAACTAAGGAAGAAAAAGGAAAGGAATTAGTGAGCCTATGAGAAATTTTCTTTGGACCAATGAAAACTTTACCTTCATAGAAATCAGTCAGTCAGCTGAGAAGAAGAAAAGAAAGTAGTGAGCCTATGCAAAATTCTCTTTGATATAAAATGAGGAGAAAATTTAAATTAATCAGAAAAGAGTGTCTAAAGTCATGTAAAAGGTTTCGTTTCAGTTCTCTCCAGTGTAAAATTATTCACCAATTATATTATCGGTCTCTAACCAACACATGGCACTTCAAAGAATTTTCCTTCAAAAATCCAAGAAAGCTATGTATTTTAAACTATCTCTATTTGTCTACTTTTGAGGGTATGCAAGCCATATATCCCTTCAGTGAGGAATGAACTCTCTTACCTTTGTTTTAAAGATTTTTGAATATTATTTTGTGTCTGATCATTTAATCTGTTGTTTGAACATTTCCTCTTCAGCACAATATGTTAAAACTATGGACTTTAATAATTTTGATTTATTTTCCTGAAACAGGCTACTGAAACTACTTTGTGAATAAAATTCCTCATCTTTTTTTGTTAAAATTACCCATGTGTTTCCTTAGTATTATCATTCTTCATTAATCTTCTTGGCATGGGTAAATCAACTGTTCATTTTAACTCCTAAGCCCCATGCCACTATACTTTCATGCCTTTCTCAATGACAGAAGTACAAATGAGTTATTAATCTGTCTTGTCTTAGAGTTTGAACTTGGTTTGCTGAACCCATTTCTCAACACTATTAACTTTAGGCCACCTACATGTCTCACCTACCTTTGATTTAACCCCAATGTTTGTGCAATATGCATTTTGTAAACATTTTAGACACAACTGTTGTAAAGTGCCTGTATTAGCTAAGCATTCTTTCTCTCATTCAAGATTTCCTATTTGTTAATCTTGTGTTTATAAAACCAGTTTTGTTTGGTTAATTTCCAAAATTATACTTATGTTCAGTGGTTTACATGGCAGGTAAAGAATGAAAAATAGCTTTTCACAATCTAAAGCTGTATTTCTCAAACTTTTCTTGACTCATTTTTGGTGTCAAAAAGATATTTCAGGCCCAAAAGCACAAATAGAAATTCCATGTAACAGGAAATAAATTTTATTTGCAAAAGCCAAATATAGTAGAAAATATAAATCCTGACAAATGATTACACTCTGCTCCTGGTGACTATTTATCAGATTTGTCAAGTTAAACATCCAAGCCTTGGTTCACCTTCAAGTATATGTCTCCTCTCTTTTCAATCTGCAATAAAATATGTTTCTTTGTGAGTTCATCATTTGTTGTAGAATATCCCTCCTCAACCAACCAGATGTCGGGAAAACCAAATAAGAATGGAACAACCATTTTTAAAGAGCAAGAGAATGGAGGATTTTTATTTTCAGACATCCAATCAATCCTTTCCTTTCAATTCTCCCCATCAATACTCTTGTTTGCTTTCTATTTAGGAAGGCCAACTCTAGAGGCATTTTAAAAATTTCTCAGATCCACTTGTGAACCTAAGAGCCCATGTTGAGAATCACTGATCTAAAGGACATTTCAATAAATGTACCCTTGTGGTAAGGAAATGATAAGGTGACATCTTGTTGATACACATGCACATTTGTTTGAGAACTGATTCACTGTTATAAACAAATCAACAAAAATGTGCAACCAAGGTTTTTCTGTTTTTTCTCTCATTAATTCTGGTCTTTTCTAAGAATTGTTAATTAACAATTATAATTTAATAGAATTAATTCAGTATTAAACTTTAAAATATAATGATTTATAATTGTGAACATTGTAAGTTTTTTTTTTCCTGTTTGATTCTATGACAATAGATTCATGCATTGTTGGGTAACTATTAGCAATATGTTCATTGTGAGTAATGAGAAAATCCATTGTAATGGTAACATGGGATATGCTCAGCACTACACAATGTGAGCCTAGCATTATATTACCATAACAATGGAAATATGAAATAAATTAAAAATCAGTATTACAATAGTGGTTCTAGGATTCATTTAATTCATTAAAATCATTTATAATGTTCTTATTTCATAATTTTTACTTTTTATTCATAATAATAATTAATAAATGTTTTGCAGGTAAAGAGGAGTGTGTGAATGACAAGGGCAAACAGTTTGAAAATTTGAATGATTGATATGTTTATTATTGAGATGTTTGTATAATCAATACACTGTTTTGTACTTCATTACTGTATGGGTACTTTTGTACACTAATAATATATATATATATATATATATATATATGTGTGTGTAATATATTATTTATATATTATATGCCCGGTACTTATTAGAAAGTGCTCAATATCAGAGTTAAAGCTAACATATATATATATATATATATATATATTTGTGTGTGGCATACATGGAGTTGAATAAAATATTTAAAAAAATTTATAAGTTAGAATGCATATTTCAAATGCATCAAGAATAAATCATAGATGTTTGACATATATAAGGTGAAGATGTTTTAAAATGATATTAAATGTTTGGCAAAAAATAAAACTTATTCAAATATATCTGAATGTTTTTTGTTAGCTATAACTAGTAATATTTAATATATTAATTTAAATATATTTAATATAGAATTAAATTTATTGCTGCATATTAAAAATTACCAAACAAATTTTTTTCCTGTCATTAACTTTGTACAAGCCATTTGCTACTCTTTACTGTTGATTTGTTCTGTGAAGCAGGCAGTTTTGAAATTTACCCTAAATATCATGAGGATTGTGCATCAGCAAGTCTCAAAATTCAACAATTTAAATTTATTTTAAGATAAAATTTAATTTAAAATATATCTCAATTATTTTCATTTTCTCTCCATGCCAGTGTGAACAATGCAAAGCTGTTTATCACAAGACCTGTATGAACCTGAAAGGCCAGTGCCCAAAATGTGAACGAAGACGCCAGCGTTTCATGAAGATAGGTCCAGTGTCCACCTCTCCGGAGCCAGAATACGATGTCATTCCCTGGGACACTACATAGATGATTGCCACTCTTACTACCATAATCTCCACTTTCATAGCAAAGACAGCAGCAGTGGCTGTGATAAAAAAAAAGAAAAAAATGTAAAGAAAAAAAAAAGCTGCTGTTTTAAGATTATCCTCTTTTGCCTTTTTTCTCGTCTGCTTTCCTCAAAGGGAGACAACTCTAGAAAGAAACGCAAATGATGAAACATGACTTGTGGGCTAGGGAGTCAGTTATGGAGTTTGTTTCATTGGAATTGTAGTCACAATTAACTCCACTTAATCATCATTACCTGAAGATAACCAGTGAATTGTCAGGTGAATTTCAAATGAAAGATGAGTATATACTCTGATTAAACAAATTATTTAATCTGTTTTTCTAACTCTTAATAATGCACTTAAAGTTGTAATAAAAAATGCAACAATTAAAATGAAAAAAGTACTCATCAAAATTTTTTCTTTGATCTATAATACATGCTGCAAACTAATTCTCCAACCATCATCAGATTATGTATTTTTATGTCAATGAAAATCTATCGGAATATTACAAATACACTGCTAATGAACAAACTTGATCAGTAATTTTTTAAAATTTCCTCATCTCATAACTGCTTTGAGTTTGAGGATAGAATTGTGATAAAAGCAGTCTTGACTAAAATATCTGTACTTTGTCATGAAACATTTACTGTCTGAAAATGTAGCTACTATTATAGGACAGTCAGTAAATGCTAATTTAATCCAACTTTTGCACAAAAAAATCTTATATTGGCTTCACTAGAACTTCAGTAAGCACTGCTCTTTAGAACTAATGTATTTTTAATCACAATTAATTTTTTTTTAGGGATAGAACAAAATATGTCCCAACAGTGTTATCTAATGAATAACAGATATTATGTATTTCTTATTACTATAAATGTTATATTTAATGGCTACAAGTGTTTGAATAGAAATCTGTTTTTGTTTTGTTTTTGTTTTTTTTTTAACTGAAATTGTCTACCAGAATAGAGAGCAAAAACGGTGGTGTCTACTCAAACATATGTACCTACTAAATGTTTATACTAATAAGAAATAATTTTGGAATATAAACAATTGCTTATATATATATATATATATATATATATATATATATATATATATTATCATTAGGATCAAAAGAATTAAAAATATGGTTTGACATTTAAGAGCAAGAAATATTCAATATTTACACAGCTTTTGATACCTGAGTGGTTTTATTTTTTAACTAAATTAGAAAACTTGTGCTTTTCTCAAAGAAAAAACAATAGCTGAGTTAATATTTGAATGTCTCTCTTCCCCACAAACCATCAATCAATGTCAACACTGGTTATTCTAACTTTGATCAGTGCTCTAACAAATTCTTGGATTTCGTTAAAAAAAATTTCGGTTGATACCTTGTATTATATCTTTAAAATGCCTTGTTTTAAGCTTTCAACACAATAATCTTTTCAATTATAAATGTCTGTGTGCATGTAATGCTACCAAAAAGTTTAGAGAACTTAAGGCATGAAATAGCTTTTTTGAGGGGGAAAAAAATGGAAAGAATATGGCTTTCTTTATATCCTGATATGTTTATTATTGAGATGTTTGTATAATCAATACACTGTAACAAGTGTGTGAAATGTCTGATGAGACAAAGGAAACTTGGTATTAATCTGTACAATTTTCCATAACCTCATATCTCTCTCTCTCTCTCTATATATATATATATCTATATATATAATATTAAAGAAAAAAAGTGAAACTATTTTCTATCAACAGTTAAAATACAGAGACTTAGTATTTTCTGGAAGCAGATCAGAATGTTTCATATCTTGCATGCATTACCAGCCATAATGAACACACATGAAATTTTGGCAAGTTTTTTTTTTATTATATTTCTAATTTGTTCTATAGAATTTCTCCAATACTGTTGTACTTTTGTTTTTATTTGCTTTTAATATTGACCAGAAAGATTATTAATGCTGTTAAGCTTTGACAGACATTTTCCTGATATGATATAATCCAAGTGTGAATGAGATTTAACTCTGTGTTCTTCTACTTTTAATGTATGTATATCTATGCAGATATTTAATGTGTAAGAACAAGCAGAGACAGTATAAAATAGAAGGGTTATAAGTTAGCTTAATGATGTATATTTATTGAAAGTGATCAACTTGTAAAATCTATCTTTACTAAAATCATTTGATAAAAAAATCAAATCACCCCAATTAAATTTAAAAACACAAGAACAATTTGATAGACCAGTGTCTGACACAATGGGATAAGTTTGTCATCATTTGTATTCATTCAAAGTTGACTGAAGCAGAACTTCTTTGAAAAAGAAAAGAAAAAAGCAGTGCTGCTGCTGCTGCTCCTTATAAAATTTATTTAATCTTATTAGAGATATTTGTTCAAAATTTCCTATATATCTTAAAAAGCTAAAAAAAAAAAAACCTCAAATAAAAAAGACAAAGCTATATTTCTTATCCTATTTATTGTTATTGTTGTTACCATTTTAATAATAATAATCTTTATCTGACTAATTTTGAAACAGATAAGCAAGCTGGTATCTATTTTTTTACCTGAGGCAGGTCAACAACTCTTTCTTCCTCAAAATCTCTTGTAATGTGCAATGTTAAAACCCAGCTCAACTTATCACAAATTAAAGACATTGAAAAATAATCGCATTCCTCTGATTGTCATTTGAGTTTCTTTTTCTTTTTGAATATCGTTCATTATTCACAGGTTTTATTTTTATTTATTTATTTTTTTGTTGGGGTGGGGGGACAAGTACAAATAATTTAAATAATTTTAATCTCTTTGAAATCATAGAAAATAGTATATTAATATCTTGTTTGAGTATTTATTAAATTTTTTTTTTTTTTTTAAATATTGTACAGAACAGAAAATGTAACCAGATCTAGAAATGATTTTTTAATGGTGACATAAGAACATTGTTGAAAATATCTTTATTTTGTAAGGATTACCTTTAAACTCTGTGAAATAAATCAGTTTTTTTTTTGTTTTTTTTTTTTTGTTTTTTTACTAGACACTCTTATAAAATTATCAAATATGATTCTTGTCTTTTTTGTTTTTGCTTTCTCTTCTCATATTTTGTTTCATTTTACCAAAAATGTCAACACGTACCTTACAGATTGCAAGTCAATGATGTCGAGAATAAGCATGTAAGTGCAGACAAGGAAAACTTTTAACAAGTTGTTCCATTATTTCACTTGTGTTTCTTGAAACAATCAAATAATTTAAAAGCATCAATTAGTCTCTTTTTTATTATTATCATTATTATTATTTTAATTGCTGGAATATTTACAAATTTTATATCTTTTTTATTGAATGTTGGTAGATATTCAAGGATTTCTAATCATCTGCCAACATTCAATAAAATATACTAATTTTGTTTACAATTTTATTGTATAGTTCAGGAATTTACAAATTTTTATTTACTAGTTAATACCAAGAATAGATTTAATAATATATTGATTTTTTTTTTACTTTTTTTGTTTGTTCATAAATTATTAATGTTGGTAGTATCCTCCATCTTGTTTTGATGATGTCAGTTCAACCAATGTGTTTAAGTATCAAATCACACATAGAAATATTGTCCAATGGGGTATTTTTGTGTAATTTATGCAAAAGCCACGTATCTATAAAGACAGTGGACTTTATTTTCCCCCTAATGTCTTCAATCTTTGAATATGTGAACTTTGTAAGTGACTGTGTATTATCATAATAGAACACAATGATTTTTAATGGAGCTTCTTTTCATCCCAAATAAAATTTGGCACAACTTAAATCAACTGGTTCACTTGTTTTTAAAAAAAACAAAATATTGAACAATTTTGTAGATTCACATTTTTTTTAATTACAATTGTCAAGTATGAAATTGCTTACATCACTGATAAATATGTACTTCTACAAATTTGGAAAAAGGACAACATCAGTAGTACACAGTTATCAATGATGTAAGCACAATTTCATACTTGACATTTGTAAATAAAAATAAAGTACAGATAACTCTTTAAGAAATCAGGGATTGATTTTACACAGTATTTATATTATGAACAGGACACCTCTTCTAAAATGATAAACAATATCAAATTCTTGTTTTTTTTTTTTTTTGTTTTTTTTTTTTAATGAGTGGACCAGTTAATTTAAGTAGTGCCCAGTGTTTAAATGCTCTAAAAAATGATAATAGATATAAATGTAACATTGATTGAAAATAAAATAGACCACATGAACACAATCCTACAAGAATGCATTGAACTTTCTCTGGGTGAAGAACCATTTTGAGTTATCCCAAGAAGTTGGTAAAAAGTTCTTGGTCTGAGCCACTTTTCAAAATTTGACGAAATGATCAATATTTTTTAAAGGGATTTTTGGTTACATTAAGAATTTTCAGCATCCCTTGTACTTTAGCCTGTTTTCTGGCATTCACCTATTGTATACATTGCTTTATATTCATCTAAAATATGCATTTTTTTGTAAGAAAACATTCATGAGAGTGCAAACAAGCAAAAGTTCGTTTTTGCTTTACAGTTAGTTTCTGTCAAAGCAAAGTCATTTTCTTAGCTTAGACACCTTTCCAAATTCCTGCAGATGATGATGGAACATTAGAATGGCTTCATTTCAGTCTTTGAGTCACTTCTTCAATTGGAACAACACAATTTCTATTGAGTTCAGACAAAAGCAGGTTATCATTAAACTCAATAAGACAACATGTCTGTAACAGATTTTCTAAGCTGAAGCCACCTTTTTTCTTTATTTTTTTTCTTTTTTTTAAACCATTTAAGGCTGGAATCAACCAATGTTTAAATTGTTTACAGTTTGGGAGTGCCTGACTATGTCTGTAAATTTGTATTTACTAGTTAATACCAAGAATAGATTTAATAATATATTGAGATTTTTTTTTTTTTTTTTTTTTTTTTTTTTTTTTTTTTTGTTCATAAATTATTAATGTAGGTAGTATCCTCCATCTTGTTTTGATGATGTCAGTTCAACCAATGT